CTTTACGCGGTGACAAAGTTTCAAGTTCTGTAAACGTACAAAGCCGAGCGACTACTATCAGCAGCGCAAGAAGACCTTGTACCGTTCAGCTACTCCCCCCTTTAACAATATCCTTACAGTCTTACCGAGTCAGGTACGCAAATGAGCAGTTGTAGGGTAGCATTACACTTCAGTGTTTTTGTTTCGAATTGATAAGCGAGTATTGCATCTCTGCACACAGTACGACGTCCGATGGGCTCCTTTGTGAAGCTGGGCGATCTATTAATCATTTCCTTTTCAGATGGAGACGGTTCCTTTTATGGGAAACTCGTATATAGAGAAACATTTCCCTCCTACAGACGAGCTACTTTATGATGCAAAATGTACTGTATACCGTTTGGAGGGATATTTTGTGGAGTCATTATCTCCAAGACCGTCTTTAGACGGAACTATCGCACAAAGAAAATTAATATTAAACCTGAGCCAGAGTTTAATGACTTCTTTTAAAACTGTATTTAATTTATTCAGTAGGACATAACTAATTAACCAACCAACATATGAACTAACTAGGGCCAGAGTCTTGCTTCGGTAACTGATGACGTGTAGCTTTTGATGATAGAGGAAGTGGGATCCCTTGGAGTAAAGTAAAGTAAAGTTTGTCCCACTATACGCCATGTAGGCGTTTGGGGTGAGAGGAGGTATAGCGCCTCTCTTCCTTGACCGATCCCTTGGAGTGGTAGTCTCAAATATGAGCGTTTTACCAGCATCCTCCGACGAGAATAAAGCCGGCTGGGAATACCAACGCTCCGGAAATAAAGTCTCATTCCCTTGCTTTTAGGTCGCCCCTAAGTTTATCGAAATGTTCACCGAAGCCCGTTGTCCAAAGTTTGTACAATCCATTCACATAATCACACAGAATTTCTCTAACATCTACGCTTATCCACAACAACTACGCCCTTTCCAAATTGCCTCTTTCCTTGGGGCTTAAGCACGCAAGCACGCACAGTATGTCCCAAAAATATGTAGACACAAGCAAATCAGTTCCTCGCCGCTGTCAACTGCTCCACAATTCACAAAATGCCAATGCTGAAGTATATAATTGTACAGTTTATTAAAGTCTTTATTCAATGCGTGTATACATCTTTTGGGGACAATCTTTATAAACACACGCGGATAAGCATCGCTTATTCACCCGCTCAACAGCTATCAAAAACCCACTAAGACTCTGTACAATGATGTTAGTAAATAGTATATATATCCAGGACATTCCTAGGACTCTTCACCAAACATTATGGCGACTACGTCAAGGAAGGAGGAAATCGAGATGTGGTAATGTAGGTTACAACGCACAGACGAAATGGTGACTTTAAATTGGACTGGAAAAATTGGCTTGTGAAGAATTTATTGGCCACTCAGCGACCATCAACTTCTGAAGAAGGACCGTGCTCTAAAGGTACAATTTGGCTGCACGCGACAGAGACAAGCGACCGAGGCAGGCGACAGAATTGCGAGACCGAGACTGGTCGCTTCCTGTCTGCTCTCTGTACAATCGTATGAAGTACAATTACGAGCGCGAGACAGAGACAAAGCACAGGAGACCGCTCTCGGACCAGTAGTGTCTCGCGACGGGCTCAGGCAGCACGTCAGTACGTAACCAAACTGCTTATGATTCAATCTAAAAGAACTCCTGAAATTATCTTCTTCTAATGATTAATGATTCTTTATTAACAGACAGAAAGATCCTTCTTCGCGTCTGGTTTTAAATATTGAACTCATAGGTTTTCTTTGTTTCTTTCGCAACAAATAACACAGCAACACATCATCTTCTTCTTCGAGTAACCTTTTTAGAAGCATTTGTGTACTCATTTTTCACAGAATATGTGCACGTATGTCTCAACAAAACAAAGAAAACAAACACTTTGCCGCATGTCTCGGTCGTCACCTCAAAAGTGTGTGGCGACAAGCTGCGATGTGTCCGTCTCCCGTCTCTGTCGCGTGCAGCCAAATTGTACCTTAAGGATTAAATTACTTCACCCAAAGTCTCCTTTTTGCAAATATATTTACGTTTGCACTTACATGCAATAGTTTAACGGGTTCTGTGGTCGAGACTTCGAGTAATCGATATAACCACACACACACACGACTATCTGGCTAGCTTCCTGGGTTCTGCTACGCCATGCATGGGTTTCATTAAATTACCGTGAAATAATGTAACTGTAAATTACTAGAACGTACTTCTTTTTAACTTCGCTCCTTTAACCAAATCGTAAACCGGAACTGTTCCGAATATTTTATATAATTTGTGAAAATAGGAAATTGCACAGTAATTACAGCAAAGTCAGCTACGCGTTGCGTTTGAAAAAAATAAAAATAAAGGTTTATCTGGCAACTAACTGCTTTAATTATGCAGAGAAGTTGGATTTCATTTAGACTACAAATCTTTCATACTTCGCTGATTCTGTTGCTGTATTTACAAATATACTGGCTTAAACAGAATAAGCATTACAGATACAACGCACAGAGACAAATAATTATGAACTATTAAAATAAAAATATTCCTTTTCACAATCAATTTCTACATCATGTTGCTATTTCTCATGTGCTACACGTAAAAATTTAAAATTTGAAGTTCGACTCATGACAACGATTAATTTTGACTTGTCTGCGACATTTTTAAAAGTATATAAGACGACAGTTTTTGAACCGAATAGTCTTTGTTAAGATCTCGGCTTTCCTGCATTCCATTTAAGAAAATGATGCATTACTCTTGTCTACATCTGTACTCATTGACTAAGCTGATATGAAGCATGGCTTCCAAAAATGTCGGCCGAAATCCTAGCTTTCATTGCGACACAGCCTACGCTAATTTTTAATTTTCCTGTTTCTCTGCCGTTGGGGTTTTTTTGTTCCGTGAGGTAATCCGTCAACTTGTGTCATCTCGTTCCCACTGATTACATACGAAGTCATAACTGCGTCTAACAGGCCCAAACTAATGTGTGAAGCAGCCTTCAAAATCATCGTCTTATCATAAAATACTTAAACAATCAACCAACTCGAATGGATACGACTTTTTACAAATGGAACCGCATTTCTTACATCTCCCGTATGCCCATATAGTCTTCCTTAATTACCCTAATAACATGAGTACAAATTATGACGTTCCTAACCATATTTTCTCCAGCCTCCTGTAACGTCTTCCTAGGTCCAAATATTCTCCTTTGCATTCAGCTATCATACGTCGCTTTTACTACGTAAGTCGCCCATTAAATCATTTAAATGCGTAAAATATATATTTATTTAAGTAAGGAAGAGGCTATTGGTAAATAACATGCCAGTGATGACATACAAATTGCAAAATTCTATATATTAAGCAAGTGACTTGGACTCTTGTAAAACGCAAAAATGATTGATCATGTTTAGTACATTTGGTCTGCACCAAACGACCTATCGAACAAAATCTCTAAATTCATGGTAATCCGCACACCACTGGAAGGTTACCAACAAAAGCTCTAAAATCAAACAAATTAAGGAAAAAACAAGAGACCGAGACTTACATTTCTTGTTAAACGTTTCGATGACATGTAAGGATTCATCTCGACGTGCAGCACGAACCACCAAAACCCGGATGCTAGAAGAAGGGCATTAGTCCATCAAGCTCACCAACTGCATAAATGAAAATATAAAAAAAAACTGAATGATCCGAGAATACATATCCCTTCCAATTATGACATAACCTTTTATCGATGTGAACAATTCTCATATTCGAATATGCTTAAGTTAACAAATGAAGTGAAAATGAAATTATGCCTAACATTTATAACAATGACTACCGGCGACGTAAAAAAAATGTGTTAAACAAAATTACATTATTTACCAAATCGAACATTTCAACATTCTGACAAAAGTAACCGAAATATGTCGCATACCTCAGTCTCACCCCACTTCCTTAATCACCATCAGCGAAAAAATGAGAATTTTAAGTCTTCATGTAAAGTATTGCTATGCCACAGAATTGGTTAATTACTTTTTTGGTTAGATAAGTACAAACGGATGGACAGAAACTGTAATGAACACGGCTAAAAATATGGCTGTCGGATTGCTACTTACTGTTGTGGAGAAAAGAATGCATCAACAGCTTCAAGGAGATAACATTAAAAAATTAAAAACAAAATTTACATATATTTCACAAAAAACATCTTTTTCTTACCAATAATTCTCATCACCTAGTGAATCAAGTTTTGAATGCACATTCAAGCCGTCCGACAACAGAGCAGAGACATCCATTGGCTGGTTTTTGAACGAACCACCGTATTTCATTGAGAGATGGCGTCGGTAGATCAACACGCTTGCAACATAAACAAGCCAAAATTAACAAGCAGCAATAACACAGTATTACGAAGTGAAAAAACATGTATTTGCTAATGTAGAAGGGAAATGCCATAACTGTTTTCTTAGCAAGATCGATTCTGGCTGTACGGCAATCCAGACAGCGTCCAGCCAACATAACCTCTACAAAAAATCCCCCATTTGAAAAATGGTTGATCAGGAAATTTCCTGCCTTTTACCGAACTTGAATGTTCATTACCGTGCTCATAAGAGGTCACTATTGATTTCTATCCTGAACAAACACCCACTTTCTTTAAAATTCGTTTTAATCAATGCTCTGGTCACATTTGGGGGGGGGGGGGGGATTTTCCCTGGAGATTTTTAGATTTACAAACTAAAACTTTGTATACAAGATCAAGAAATGATGGCACATTGTTCACACAGTTGACAACCGGGCAAGGATTAAATTCATATTTAGGAAAGAAGTTAGTTTTAATATTAATTGTCATGACTACTGTTTCAGTTGCCACAGTATACATACTGCAACACTAATTTAGCTGACGAGCACAACGCCCATGGAACAAAAACTGAACAGAGGGAGTAAAGGTTCACATGACAGCTTCTTATTTACACATAAAATTTTTAACTGGAAGGAGTGTAAAAATTATGCACATCTCAATAAGCAATCACATGGATAGACTTAAGTCAATTTATAAGGCATCAAAAAATCTGTGCACATTACATTACATAATATATGTTTATGTACAATAATACTTTAACACATATATGTCTATCCTTCTACAACTGAGACATACTCCTCATAGCACACTATGGTTTTCCTTGAATAATAAAAATATACATGACAGAATATGGATAATTTATCATCAAGCTTTTTTTGAAGAACCAACTTTTCAGTACTATTTACAGATATAAATATAAAATACAGGTTCTAGTATATAATTTCATCATTGGTCACATAAGAACTACCCAGTGAAGGCAAACAGTAAATATCATAATAATATAAAATTGTTATGACTCATTTTCTCTGTCTATGTGGCCATTGCTAGGACACTATATAAGTCTGTCCATACATATTTCATCATTAGGCAACCTTATGTACTGTCATGTACATTTGTTTCTTGCAGTGCAGTTTGTCATTTGTCAGATAACAAGTTCACTACCGCTCGACACACAAGTCACATGGATCCTACTCCACGTGCCAGTAAATTATCCACACGTGCGTCACCACGGTCTCGGTGGCTTTGCCTGTCGGGATTTAGTTTCTTTTCACTATGAAACAACTGAGATTCACGTTAAGCTACGTGCATATGAATTTGGTTTTATGTCACTGTTTCTCTAAGTCTATAAATCATGAGAGATAAAACTGATAATTCTTCTAACTCAACTTCAGGTCCTTCACAACCAAAATTACCACAACATGCCGCAGTAAAAACTTCCAAAGCATGTTACAATTTTAAATTTATTATAAAAAGTATCAAGCAATACGATGAGTGAATTCAACACTTCTAGTGACATTCAAAAGCAACAGTAAATTTTAAAATGAAAATACTATTCTCTAAAAAGTGCAATATAGACATTTTGGAGAGAAATAATTGTACGATTTTAGATTTTCTGTTATTTGGGGTACATGCTGTCTTCATAATATATTAAAACAAGCCAACGAAAAGTTGGGACCCGCAGTGCTCAGGCACTTGAAGAACGGGTCGTTCCCAGTACACAACAAAAATAATGCAATTAAAATTGCAAGAAATATGATGCAGCATGTTAAGTCAAGAAACCATGCAAGTAGCATGTCAGCTGTTGAGGTTTGGATAACATCTTTGCTTGGAACGTCATGCAGCCCTTCACCCGCAATTCTATTATTCTATACACTCCCATGTAAACAGCAGGCCCACATTAAGCTAGGGCTAGGTGGCTAACACTGACTTGCTGGCTGGAGCTGCTAAATATGTATTTTATCCGATCAGTTCTCTGTGTTCTAGTAAATGGAATACCAATGAACCACAAAATTAAGAACTTTTATTTTTTTCAGTTTTCAGTGTTGGCCAGGCTACAAAGGATAACATAAATGTTCCGCCCCTAGTGGTTGACAACAGCAAAAGTTCAAATTGTACCCACACTTTGCAAAGAGACTAGCAATGAATGTGCTCACTTAAGATGAACCAACTTACTCCAAACAGCAAAATCAGTACGAGACAGAGACAACAACGAACAATGTATAAACATAACTGTGTAAGATTTGAGGTTTTCACAGCGGTGAGTATGAAGATTTCTGTCTTCTGGGTTGTTGCGCTGTGTAGTCTGGTCGATGTTTACCAAAGTTTCAATCGCCCTGATGACGGAGGCAGTATGACCTCTAAAACGTTGGTTAACGTCGACCAGACTACACAGCGCAACAACCCAGACGACAGAAATCTTTATAAACATAACTGTTGAAAATAAACAAAGTATACATTGCCTCCCCAGTACATAGTAAAATGTCATTTATGTGGTTAAATCGTAAAGACTATTAAAACTAACAATTCAAAGAAAATACACATTTTTAACAACATAAATCACAGTCTTCATGCCCCACGTGATAGTTACAACATCTGTTATGCAAGAGACAAAACAGTCATTGCATACAAATTACCCATAACTCTACCAAGATTAAAACAAATCAAGTACAGTAACTGGCCTATTCCACGAACCCTTTTTAAGCTCAACCACCGTATCAACTAAACTTTAACTTCATTATTTAAGTCCTCGGTCATTATTCCATTTCACTCAATGTTCAACCATTAAATCAACATTAAAGTTATGAGACTGACTACAGGCAAAAATAAATTCATTTCAGAAAGTAGCAGATATTTTATTTTCTTACTGCAAGTGTAAAATATATTTTACGACTCTATTCCAAAGAAATGCAACATTTTCTATGTACAATATTCTCCTTTCACAATGGCTAAACACATTGGAGTGTTTGGGTGAAACGACTTCTTCCACGCTGCAACAGAAAATTTATTTCTCAATAAATTTGTGATTAAAATATGTTACATGCGTACAACGCATTTGAGAATTTTTTTTTTTTTTTTTTACTAACATGCATGCAGTAAAATGATGATATCTGGTATATTACATGCTGTTCTTGAGAAAATGGATTGGGAAGTATGAGGGCTGTTCAAACGTAACCCATTTGAGGCACCGCCTGTGAATATGACCAGTCGCAGTTGTGTGCATGAGAGGAAATTTGAGCAAGTGTGACATGTTTAAATGTCAGCTGGTGCAGAATTCATCCATACAGGATCAACAAGCTGTCACTCAGTTCCTGACCCTGGCATCACAGTATGCTCAGCACTATTGTGGAAACCTGAAGAACTCTGTACCGCCACCAACAGAAAGCACCCTGAAATACTCACAAGGGGTGTCATCATGTTGCACAATAATGCCCATCCCCATGTGGCCCACACAGTCTAGGATATGCTGCGCTTCGTGTGCTGGATGGTGTTGGCCCGTCTCCCATATAGCCGAGACCTGTTATCGTATGACGTCCAGGTGTTCAGACCCCTCAAGAAAGCATTAAAAAGGCCGTAGGTACAGGTCAGCCAAAGACATCAAAAGTCGCAGTGGTTTCAGTAGCCGTACAGGGAGTTCTTTACAGAAGATCAATCAGATGGTGCATCAGCGGAATTCCTGCCTCAACATTCGTGAGGACTACACAGAATAATCCCCAGATGCATTTCGTTTCAACAACCCTCATACCTTAACACATTTACAGTTCAAAGTTAGCACTCGGAGATTTCTGCCTGTTTGCGCTGACGGCGGAATCAATGGGAGGTCAGACCTTTGATCGATGACGAGCAGATCCAAAGGCATGTCCTGAATTTGTTGCTGTATTAATCTGTGTTTACCACCACTGCAAACAGTGATAGAAAACATGTGTTGATTTTGGAGGGTAACTCTATACAAAAACCAAAGTAACGGAACTTTTGCAACATGTTTATAAAGTACACAATACAAAATAAAATTCTGAATTGTAGGAAAGCTCTCTGCTTTCACGAGGACATAAAAATATATGCGCATTTTGCCTGTGAGAGCTCTGCATCATACAGCACCGCAGTTCACTTAGGCATGGTACTCGCCCTAAGTTAAACACACGGTCATTGCACAACCACGTTTCAGAACCAGCCTCTTTTTATCTCACTATAGCCTGAGGCAACCACTTAGCTCCAACACAAGCAATCTCAGCAATTCACTAGTAACACACTTTGCTTCAGCATGTCAACATAAAAAAATTATACTATCTTACTATTTTCAATACTGAACCTAAACTAAACCCCACAACAAAATCAATTAAAATTCATAAGTGATACACACTTAACAAACTATCAGTCAGCTTATTTAGCCATCTTTGAAAATAGTAAGAACAAATATATTGAACAAATCAATCTTAAATAGTTCAAGCAATATGTCACTTACTTAATATTAATTCCTCATAGTTCCTCTCCCGGTGTGCGGGTGGTGGTCCCACCCCTAGGATTTCTTCCAAGAATAGAACATTTCAAGTGGTTTGTTCACTTTCCAGAATTTGTCATTGACTTGACGCAAAGTCTGATTCCCACTGAGAACCACGAGCTGTCCAGGTGTTGGTGCGATATATATACAGAAATTGAGGAGCCGGTATGTCTCCGGAAGTTCCGAATCTAGGTCCAGAGTAAGACGCATCGCAAGATACTTGCTAAGATGATCCACTGCAAACAACGAGAATACATATACAGATACTAAGATGCTGTGAATTCTGAAACTACATCCAAGATATGACACACTGCAAGATATTTAAGATATTTATTCAGATGATCCACAGTAACATGAAGAAGAAATTACGCGCTTCTACGGAACCCAAAGGCTTATTACTGTGTTCACAAAAGCCAGCCGAATCCATTCCACACTCTTGCATCTTATTTTCAAAAGAAACATTCAATTTTTTCCATATAGGTCACTCAACTGATGTTTTTCCTTCAGGTTTTCTTACTTCTCATTTCCCCATGCATGATATATACACCGCCACTCTATTCCCCCTCAACTTGATCACTCTATCAATATTCAGCCAACAGTACAAATTATTAAGATCCTCATTAATATATCTGTCCAAAAACATTAAAAATGTCACTGCCATTCAGACAATAGGTTCACTTCTGTAGTCAAGCACATTAATTGTTACAGGTCGCAATGTTGACAGAACTATACTAGTTATTTCTAAATGTCAACAATTCAAGAACTCAAATAATAGTTTTCTTATACTGAAAATAAAATATTCCTTTTTCGCAAATGTCAGGGTACCAGTAACTAAGAACATTTAGGCTATAGTTAGCAGTCTTCCTGTAGAATCTTTTACCTGAAGCATTTGCTGTAGTTTTGATGTATCTTACAGAATTCTCCTTCAGCGCCTTAATCAAGGAATTGTCTCCACCCATTTCTGTTGGATGTGGCTTGAACACCAGTTCAATCTCGTTGATTGTTATGGGCTCTGATGGACCATCACCTTCTCCAACTGAAGAATCCTGACCGCCTGCTTCAACACTTGAACCTGCAGACTCATTTTCAGAATTATGCACAGACTTTGCCCTCTTTGGTGGCTTTGGGTACAATGAACTTTGTACAGGAGGTTGGGAAGACTGGGGTTGTGGACTTGGTTGGTGGGTTTGTTGGTTTATTTGTGGAGGTACAGGTTGTGGTAATGCTGCTGGTTGTGTTGGAACAGAGGCAGGAGGTACATTAATCGGTGATGGTGCTGGAGTAGTTGTGGAAAGAGCTGGTGGTGCGGGAACTGCAATAGGTTCACGTAATTCATTCTGCAATGGTGTTGGTGTAGATGGGGCGCTTGTGTTAGGTGTATTATTAGGTGTTGTCTCTGGTTCATTTGCCGCCTTTCTTGCTCTTTGCGGCCGGTTTTGTAACTGAATCTTGATACCTTCTGTAATCGAGTTCACTAAAGCTGCCTGACTATGACTCTTGTTTAATTTTGCAAGCACTCGTTCTTGGTGCGCTTCATATTCATCACGACTGGGATAAATTTTAGAAATAAGCAAATCAAAGTTAGGATCAGGCCTTAACGATCGTTTTGACACTAATTTCTTCCTGCACGTTGGACACTCCTTATTGCCGGACCGGAGCGCTGTAATTATGCAGTCTGAGCAAAACCTATGTAAACACTCCTTGGTAGTCATAGTTTTCTTTAACATATCAAGGCATATAGGACACATTAGTTCACTGTGAAGGCTTCTTGGAGATACGGCTATTTCGGTGTTATCGGTGATTGCATCTTGCGGTGAACGGTTCAATTCGTAAAGTGAAAGTTCCCAAGTTTTATTCAAACCAACTTGCTCAGCGGAAGCCATGTTGGCTTGTTACTACTGCAGGAGGTACCCAACATGGGTCAACACAAATGAATGTTTACGAAACGGAGTAACTGCAACACAAGAACATTGATTAACTGCATTGAAGAAGACTAACGCACGATTGAAACAAAAATACGAAACAGCATAGACCTTCTACGTCGTCTTGTCAAGATGTAAACTCAAAGTTTTTGTGAAAACTCCAAGTTCCTGTTTTTATGTTGTAATATTATTTTCACCGTAAAACATTTTGCTGTAGATTTTTTTCTGCATGACAATTTTACGGGATAATTTTAACTAGCCCTCTCATCACGTCAAGGTTGCAGTCCATGGAGATGGATTCCAACTCCCATCTATCCACTATGTAACCTATCTGCCCTTCATCTAAACCTAAACCTAAACCTACATCAGGTACGAAACATTTTTTTTCCGTAACAGACTAACGCCAACTATATTCGTGAGAAAATGCCAATGATGGAAGAATGCTCAGAGGTAGTTTTTCGCTTCACGTTGGGACTTAGCCGATTTCAGAGTCTGTGAATGATGTCACTGACAGAAAACCACGTATGGGATCGGAGAAGAACGAAAGTTGTCGCAAATGCTTTATATAATATTGGGTCGGACCTCTCAGAGAACACGCCGCAGTTAACGGAGAACAGATGGCTCAGTAGCCGTGGTGAAAGCAACAATTCTAAGGGACGAACAACCCAAAAGAAAGTACCTGACCATGCTCGTTTGGGGTTATGCGAAGGGCACATAATGTTACAAATAGTCATATCAGCTTTAAATGCAAAAACCCACATCCGGACCCCCCCACCCGTGAAAATCTCAACGCTAGTGACATACGGTGATGGATTTTCAAGTTCCACAAAAACAGGGAATTTCATATTGATTATCCGAGTTCATACAGGCATACCACGACATATTTGTGCTACAAAGCATGGCAACTTACATGGAACTAGCTCACCATAATTCATAAAAACCCTACAGTCAAGAAACATGTTTACTGCTGAGTGTCTAGCATCTAGCGTGTTTAGATTACCCATCAAAACGCAGGTGTTAAATTACATTGTATTCTTTTTGATTTAATTACTACTGGTCCTGAAATTTAACAGGTGAAAGAATCTTTTTACGTTTGCTTCACAAGTGCAAATGCGTGAGTCAATAAAATAGACTACACATCCCACTAATGGAAGAGGGAATGGAGTTCACAGGTAACTGACGTAAGTTAAATCATCAGAAAGTCGCTTAAAATTGTTATGGGAAAAGTTTAGCACAGGCATGCTAAGCCCATGTACACAGAATACGCAATACATTACTTAAGCTTAAAAAAGTGGCCTTGGTTACTGCATTTTATCTTATACTGATTGATTCTCAAGTTAGTCAACTACGCTTATTCAGATAAACAGGTTATACAGGATGTTGCATGCGTAACTGCAGATCGAAATGTATAAATCGTAGAGTTATTATATGCTAAAAACTGAGTAGAAAATTTTCGAACCAAAATTCTGTATGCATTTTTCACCTAACCTAACCTAACCGCCTTGATTTTATCATCCTAACAACATTACGCTAATCTAACATTCAACTTATACAGTTAAAGTAGTCAATAATCAGTAATCAACCAATCAAACACTGAAACGCTAGAAGGTAATAAACTACGAAAAATATCAACAATACCATTATCAAAATAAATTAGTCTTTCTGCATCGAGTATTTTGTAACGTGGCTCTTGGTTTTAGTGCATTGTTATCATCAATTCAGGTAGATACGAAGGGTAAGTAAAAGGTGTCGTGAAATAATATATTATTTATCACGAGGCACACAACAAATTAGAAAACACATTCTGAAGCCGGCTTCAGTTGCTATTTCAGTTACATTCAACGAAAGATGTACCGCCCTTTCTGCATGCGAACAAAGCAGATGCCGTAACCAATAGTAACACATATTGCAAACACGGCTTGCATGTCACTAAAGATGAAGATGACTTTGCATATAGTAATCAGCAGTCTGTTGGCATGGCTAGACCAGGGTTAATATTGCTGCTGTGTGTATTTGCAGACTTTGTTCACAGCCGTGTCCCGTAAGTATCGGTTGAAGATATTATTACAAATTTATTGACATTTTATGTGCTAGGTATATTACTTTATTTGAACATTCCCGTAACAATTTAAAATTTAATGAATTCTTCTCGGGCTGCCAGCCTTGTCAGATGGTTTAATGAACATTTCGAGAACCATCTTCGTCGAGGACGGATCTCGAAACGTTGGTGTTCTCTTCATTAAACAACCTGACACGGATGGCAGCACTATAGGAATTTATTATACTTAGTCGCCGTGAAAACTTCAGATGTCAGAACCAGGTCGACATTTGAGACGACTGACAGCGGTGGAGGTTTGTCGGCAAGGTTGTCTGATATATCAAGCGAGACAAAAAAACTTCTCGTTGCCATCGTCCTGATGATGGAGGCAGCAAGGACCTCTGTAACGTCCGTCAATTTCTACCGGCGCCACATTCCACAAGACAATGTTCGGTTGTGTTACGAGCTACTATCGAATAATACGCAAAGTAATGAAAAATACACATTTATTCTTAAGATAAATTTGTTTTATACCTTATCGTAACAAATAAAATATTTAAATTTTAGGTTATTCGGCAGGCAACTGTGAGAAAGTGTTGCAATTTCAAATGATACCGTTATTTCCCATTGTTGAGCGATTCACGAACTAATGACGTACTTGGATGAATGAGCCTGTGTAACCGAATGTAAAGGTTATGTAATGACATTGCTTTATGAAAAGCTTGTTTGTAATTACCTATTGAATTTGAATCGTGCGTAATAAAAGGATGCTTCTGTTCAATACACCTGTTTGCCACCCACTCATGCAAACACGTCTATTAATTTCGCGGACAAACGAATATGCATCATACCAAGCGCCATTCATGAACATTATTTAACCTTACTCTTTATTTAAATGTACTCCAAACGGTAACTGTTATTCCACCAGATGTCAGCTTTATTCAGAGAAACCCTAATTAAGTTACACGCCGAGTAAAATTCCCATTCACGACAATTCAAGCAAAGAATACGTCGTTCTTGTTTCTAACTAGCTCCATGGAGGAGAGGCCTTCTTCAAAACCTGATAGTAGCTCACTTGGTCAAAAATCTCGCAGTCTTTTGTGGACACAAATTGTCCATTATTGTGTTCAAAAGAACCTGTCACTGGTCCCTATCCTGAGCCAGTTGAATCCAGCTCGCATCCTCACATAAATTACTGTTGGTCTGAAAGCTGAGACTTTTTATATTGTTAAGCTTTGCGGCATGAAAAGGAAAGAGACGTGGATGCAAAGCTCCATTTGTTCCAAATTTCGGGACAAAATATACGCTAATGGCCAGTTTCTGGTTCTGGCCTCTCTGCCCCCAAGGAAAAAGCACCCTGTACTCATTAGCCAGGAGGTAGTCACTCTAGACCCCTGCACGGTTGAATTCTGAATTGCGATTCCAGATTTCGTCACCACGCCCAGCCCTGAAAGAATGAAAATGCAAGAAATTAATTATTTATTTATGGTTCAGACAATTTTTGAGGATGATCTGAATTGCTCAAATTATACAATGATAAATTAATGACATGGAAAGAATTTGCAAGGAAGTGAACAGGAACGTGGGGTCAACTTTATGTGACTTATGCTTGGCTGATTCAAATTTTGTCTTTGTGGCAGAATGGCTGCTGATTGCTCACCAATGAAGACTGAAGGTGAAATTTTGTCAGGTTATGGGCTGTTGAGGAACCTGACACATCCATGTAGATACAACTTATTGACCCCACCTGGACCTCAGAATATCAGCGTCAGAATATACATTTACAACTCTCAGGCAACTCACAATCTGGTCAGAACATCTTTTAAGTTTTACTTTTTGTAGACACACACACACAAAGTATCTTCATTATGTAATTGTTTCCATGATCCTGCTACTTTCTCTCTCTTGGTCAACATATCAACATTTCTGTTTCTAAATGTATATAAAAAATAGAGACTCGTAGAGAAGCAGGTCTGACAGCCACAAAAACAGCATACAAATACATGGTCATATTCGCGAAATAAGATATTTTAGATCAAGAAATTTCTTCCGTGAAAGGTTAAATTTTGTCAACATATTTCACAACATATGTATCATAAGTATTCTAACAATCTTCTTTCTCATTCTGCGTACTGCTATCAGCATTACAACCTTCATCTGTTACTTCAATTTGAGTATCAAGATCCCCGACTGGCCTACCATTCTGTAGCGCCCAACACGTACAAAATAACCGGTGGGGAAGATCTGAAAGACATGGTATGGACACCTCACATTTATTTGGCGAATGATCAGAAGTCTACTGTAATGGGATCACTGAAAAAAGACATCATGGTTTCAGTGTACCCAGATGGTACAATCACCTTTGCACAGAGGTAGGACGTAAAAGAAACAAAGCGCGTTCCATTAAGTATGACCTTGAATCTGAAATTTGTTAAATGTTTCTTCCCTGTGTTAATAAGAAGCATGCAATCATGGTATATTGCTAAACCCTTAATGAAGGATACTCTATACACTGTCATTATTACAATATTTCATATTTACACACTCAACATAACATGTGTGACTCAAGTGTATTTAATGGGCCAAACTAAACAGCTCAGTCAATGCATGTATATTAATTTGTACACACTACACAATAAAATACTTCAATATAAGATTGTATTTATTTATTTCAGATTAAAAACAACTGTTGCCTGTTTAATCAAGCTCCACAAATTTCCTTTTGATGAATATCATTGTTCTCTGATGATAGAGACCTGTAAGTAATATCTGAACTTCTTATCCTTGTATGTGGTATTTTCACCTGTCATGATAATGTATCATCACATCTGTTTCATTTTGGAAGTGATAGGCACTTGGGGGGAGAGGCGGTATAGCTCCTCTCTTTCTTGACCTCGGCACTAGATGGGGGTGAGTGGTCAGCATCACGCCCCGGCCGGCCCCTGGGAAAGGATCCCGGTACTCATTGGATATAAGAGGCTGGGCCCCAGAGGCTAGAGGAAAAATCCTCTGCCCCTGTCAAGGATCGAAACCCAATCGTCAAATGTCGGAACAACAAACATCTTAAACTAGGCCATGATGGTTATGTCCCTCGTCCTTCCCACTTCTCATTCATAATCGAAGATTTTCTTAAAAATTACAGGAAAGGCGTGCTTTGTATTGCAGGGATATATAATATCAGCAAGCTGTTTTTGAAGTGGGAAGACGACAGCCCAGTATCGATAACCCCAAACACACACATGTCTGAATACTACATATCCAGAATGTGGACCAGCACAAGCAAGGAAAGTGGATTTTTTATCACCAATTTCTATAAATATAGAGATAACAGTAAGTTAAATTATTATTTACGAAACAAAAAATATTGATTTATATTCCTAACCAGAAGTGCACATCAACATAATTTCTGACAGGGAACTTTAAAATGTGTAAAATAATTTACATAATCAACGATCACTTTGAGATACAGGTAACCAACATATACAATAATATTCCAACATATTTTGTGGATAGATTTAGATGGAATTTGATTAGATAAGCACTATTTATATTAGCTCAGCGGTAATGTTGGATGCATACAGTTCATAACCCAGTTGGAGACCTGGCTAAAATTCTTTCAAGTAAATACCAGGATAGTACTTATACTAATCAGTCGAAATCACTACAGAAAATTATTTCACACTTTATTCCATGTTACATAACCTCTGTACTTAAATAAACTACATTAATCAAAAAACTATAGCAGCTTTCATAATCACTGTATTTATGAGTTGTAAATTGACACGGATGTTTGAGAAGTAACATATTTTAAAACAGACCATAATAAGTATTTTTAAATTAATGGCATAAGCTGTACAGTATCATTAAGAGTACAGAAGTAAAACTGCAATACTAAATGGAAGAAGAAAATAGTAGTTCTTGCTAAAATATCTTAATTAGATTTATTTACATTCTTTTACCAATAATGTGGTCACACAAGGTATAGGTTTGACTTGATCTGAAACAAATATATGACCATCACATCAAATACAAATATTTTGTTTTTTCTCAGTTGGCAGTTATAGTGCCCTCATGGTTACATTTAGCCTGCGGCGTCAAGTGGGATACTACATAATGGACTACTATGTCCCCAGTACCCTGATGGTTATCATCTCGTGGGTCACATTTTGGTTGGATTCCAATGCCATCTCTGGTCGGATTAACATCGGTCAGTCTCATCTGACTGAAGTGTCATGGTTTCCATAAGTATATACATATATATATATATATATATATTGTAGTTTAACGTTGTGTAACTTTCACCAGATTTATTTAATTTGAAGAATGCGAATGCTGACCATTAATACTCAATTCCATGAACCGAACAAAACTGCGGCATCTTCAGATTATTCTATCCTCCGCAATATGCATACACAGAAAACTCAAAAGAAAATGGAGGTTATTCAGATGTCATCATTCTTTAATATTGCCTTTGTAAGTTCTGACATATCAATAATCACTGCAGCTAATTGTAACATAAACAAAAACTTTAACAATAATTTTTTTCCAGGCATCAGTTCTATGTTAACGTTCATCACTCTCTCATCCCAGACAGGAAGTGCGATGCCTAAAGTGTCATATATCATGGCAAATGAAGTGTGGTTCATTGCTTGCACAACATTCATCATTGGGTCATTGGTCGAATTTGCTTTTGTGAACACTATTTGGAGGAGAAGGTAAACAAGTGAAATCACAAAATTTACATTGTGAAACAACAATAATTTAAATGTGTTATGCAATTTGAAGCAAACTTAACTCACAAAGAAAAAATATAAAGAAATAAGATGGCTTCTTTTTAAATAAAAATCCACGAATAAACATTCTTCCTAGTTTTACGAAACAGACGGCTTATTAATTTCAGGCGTAACGTGGAACTCAAAAAGGTGACTGGAAAGCACATTTTGAAGTCTACACTGACACCAAAATTAGCACGGAGGCAGTTAGAGGAGCTCAAAGAGAAATCAGTTTCCAGTCCCCCTGACCTGGGTTCAACAAGCAGCAGTTTGCCTGCATCACTGGCATCACAGGTTTGTAATAAATTTACTTATTTAGCAGCTTCATAATTTGTACTCTTCGCCAAATATTATTAGCGAGCAAATTGAGGAGGATAAGATGTAACATGCGTGGAGAAATGAATACACAATTACGTTTGGAAAACTTAAAAGACCACATCTACGCATAGAGGTTAATATGAAATTAAATTTGTGCACTGAATTTAACTGGCTCAGGACAGATTTGAGTAGTGCGTGCTTGTTAACATTGGTAATGAAACTCTGGGTGTCATCAAATCAGAATTTATTGACCACCTGGGCAACTGTAAGCTTTTCAAAGTGGAACCTGCATTATTCAGCTGGCTAAATTGGTTTGTGAACCATACTTACACTCATTGGCTGTAATCAACCCATTCCCGGCCCCAAACCCAAATTGTTCCAGAACATGGTACCCATACAGATGATCAAAGTGTTGGGTAGTGTAAGTCAACTAACACAGATTCTGCACTTAAACCAGTTACCATTCAGATTCCTGGTTCTCCCTCCCCCAATGGAAGATGATGATGATGAAAAAGAGCTGGAGCAAGTACGGGACTTCCCAGTTGACAGCCACACCTCTCAGGATCGCAGCATCATGACGCTTGCTTCGGATGAAGAAATCCGACCCACTGGCAACTTCACTACTATGACGCCACAGGAAATAGCAAAGTGGATTGATACAAAGAGCAGAGTAATTTTCCCTGTCTCATTTATAATGTTTAATATCCTTTACTGGGGATTTATTTTCTTGGATGTGACATTTCAAAAGTCAACAGAAGAGAGATAGGCAAACCGACATCGCAGATAACTTCAATTCCCACTCTATTCAATACGATTATCATAGGGTTAGCGTGAAGGAAGCTACCGAGGCTAAACGTTCAAGAAACATTGAGAGCAGTTCAGTTCCATTACTTCTGTTGAGACTTGGATCTACCTAAGAGGAGAATGAAAGTAAAGAGTAAACAGATGCTGTGAGTGAGATTTGAAATTCTCACAGTGGCAAGTATAAAGATGGCTGTCTTCTGGGTTGTAGCGCCGTGTATCCTGTTAGAATTTTACTGATGTTTCAGTGGTCTTTGCAGCCTCCACCATTAGTGCAACTCATTGTATTGATGACATAGGCAGCAAGCAACTCTGAAACGTCAGTAAACTTTTACCAAACTACACAGCATCACAACCCAGAAGACACCCATCTTCAAGATGCTCTGATATCACCAACGGAAGGAGAGATAATGGAAACATACCTGTATATCCGCTGGGAAACGTTAATTGTTTATTACAATGAGATTTACTGGAGTATTTTATTCTACTGCATCATTCAATTTCTGACTACCATTACCTCTCGTTTTGCTGAGCACAGACATTCAAGTTTTGAGATGAGACATAACGAACAGTACGTAAATGTGCTTAGGCTTTTGTTTTCCTAGGAAAATTTAAATTATTAATGCTTGTAAGAAAAGTTTATAAAAATAATAGTTTGTTAAAATTCTACTAACAGCAAAGTGATGTACTTTTAATTTTACTTGTTTTATTTCATATATACAGTATATATATTTTCTATTGTGAAGGGCCCCTATATGCCACTTCTTGATTAAAACTGTTTGGTACTGTATGACTTTACTGTAGTTTAAAATACATGGCATTTATAAATTGATTTTTAGAAATAGTTCATATAAATATTGATGTATTAATTCATGTTTATGCTTATATATATCTTCATAAGGGCTGTATGTTATTTAAAGGTGCTCATATAAACTGAAAACGTTATTAATGTTGAATGATATGGAACAACTTTGCCGAATTTGCGACAGTTGGGAAACGTGGTCGGGTCGAAGCCTGCTTAAATATAAAATATGAAAATTTACCTTGAGGAACTGTGGAAAACAATAAGGAAACCTCTGTTAGGGAGTGTCTATGCCCTGGCTACATTTTGAAGTAGGAATCTGCGCAATACAATAAAAAATGTCACCAATCTTTCTGCTTTGCTCAATGCCTGCAATAAAAAAAATGATTTAACGCATATGAACAGAAACCTCCTGTAATAAAAGAGAGATTTAGTGAGCTAGATTATTGAGAGCTAGTGCAGAAATGTGTTGTCAATTTAATGCTTAATGTATTGATCCCACTTCAATTGCCTACAGTAATGGACATTTATTAGGGATAAATACAAATTATGGAGTAGAATCCTCTTGAACAATCAGTGTCATCGTAGAGTACAACTGCAATATTTTGGAGACTACCCGTGTGCCATGCCATGACAACTAGTCATATATATACTTCCGATACCAAATTTCATACGTTAACCTTTGGAATTTGTTCATAATCGATAATGCTGAAATATATCAATTAAATTAAGGATATTCTTTCTACAAAAGCATTTCATGAATGTGAAGTGAAAAAATGTCATGTTATTCCCACACATTTGAATGATTCTTCAGTGTGCATTAAGCAACCACTGAAATAGTCACTGAAATCTGAAAAGGCACTTAGCAGAGGTATAATGTTCCCTCTTGAAGTATCACCAAGGACGCGCAGTGAGACATCATGGAAATCATCATAACTAATTATGTTTTCACTTTCAGTTGTTTAAACTACGTAGGTTGATTTGAAGACATTCTGGAAAGCCTGGCTGTTTTATGTTAACAGTTTGGAGACATTAAACTAATCATAACCAAGGTGACTGCATAAGTTTTTCAGAGGACACATGACAAATTTTACCTAAGCAGACAAGAGAGTTAATTCAGTCAGTGCTCACACATCATAGTTACTTACATTTAGACTAAAGTTAAAAAATAAGGAAAAATGATAATGCAATGTATTAATGGCCCCTTAATCATAAAAGTAGTCTCTTTAATCAAATACAGTTCTTTGTGTATGTGCATGTAAAAGTATGTGGTACCTGTTTTGAACTGAAATATCCTCAGTTGCCCACACCCAAAAAGGGTTGGTGATCTCTGTACTAGGCAATGAAAAATTATACGCTGCGACTGGTAGCTGAGTGGCCGATAGGGAAACAGACTGGAACTTAAAGAACATTTTCAATGCCAGTTTTCTTCTGAGAGAAGTTGTAAAACATTAATAACAGCCCACTACAATACAGTGTCCCCACCTTAGAACAGAAAGAAAATTAGTGCAATGTTGCACATATTAACACATATTAAAAGATATATAGTAATTTCCAGATATGTCAGGATAGGTTTCATCTCAGTGCCTCATAGCAAGCTTCGATGTTTATGAAATGACAAAACACAAAGTTTTCCATCTGCTTAATTTCAACAAAATAAATAAATTCACTTGATAGGTAGTTGGTTAATTATTTCTCTGATGGACATAAATGTAACAGATATTTTGAATGTTAATTAATACAAAAATATTTAGACAAAAGACAGGCAAGAAATGGTTAGATATATACCATGATATGTTTCAAATATCAGCAAATATTTTGATTGATTCAAAAAATTAAAGTTGTATAAAAATAAATTCAAGTTCTTATACTAAAATGGACAACACATTCTTTTATCTAAAATGCACATCGTCAATTTTCCTTAAAAATAATCTGAAACTAGGAGACTCGACTACGAAAGTTTGCACAATGTACTAAAGAAGTGCTAAAAAGACATGATGGAAATCAAGGTTGTATCACATTGCATTTCTGTGATCAGGACAAGTTTTTCTGTAAAATAACAGTTTTTCAGGGCGGTGTATGTTCTCGGTGCAGCAACACAAGTTAAGTAAAATAGGTATGACAAAGTTAAATTGCAGTACAAATTAGTTTAACATCACACTTGCAGAATTTAATATAACATCAACATGATTAGCACCACATTTGAAAACCTGTGTATTGTATTCAGATATTCATCAGAAACAACACGGTACTTATATGAGAACTGAAACTGTTCCAAACAGGTTGTATGATAAGTACTGACACCTAATTAATTAATTAATTAATTAATAGGTGGGATAACACATTGCCAGTAGGTATAATGGAAAAGTAAGTGGATTAATACTGACAGGAAAATTAAGTTAAAAAATTAAAACATCTGACCAAATATTATTTGGCAGAGACTGTACACCAACAGTATTTCATCAGAGAAGCTGCCTCTTTCTTACGATGTCCACAATTTTTAGTGCTGTAAGATTTTTCACTTACAGCCTACGTAATATGTTCAGAAAATCTTCAGTTTTGTATCCTGCTACATAAGCATTTAGAGCCCAACGTTCACAGAGCATTCATCTTCACCGGAATGAGAACCTAAAATATCATATTAACACCTTTTTTCACTAAAATACAGAGTACTTAATTAGAACAGTACAGTCATAAGCAATAACATCTAATTTTATTCCAAATGTCACTTTGTTCTGTCTTGCCGAGACAGATGGCAGTTTCATTTAACCAAAAATGTAAAAAACAGCACTATTTTGTCAAAAGTGGTCTTCCGGGGATGTGACACTATGTGGCCTTGTAATTACCAATGTTTCGGAGGAACATATCACCTCCATCTTCAGTGCTGAAGACAACACCAAACTTCACCACTGCCATTTGAGATTCATAGAAATAACAATGGTATCATGTACTGAAGACATGAACCATTTAACGCAAAGGTAATATTTTAGTCAAAATGAAATATTTGGAAAATTACCAGATGTGTAAACTTTGTCAGGAGGGTGACGAGCGGTCGGCTTCACACTTCAAAATTTTTCTGGATAAGGCCTTGACACGGCTCAGGAGGCAAGTCACCACATCACTGCAGAGGCCCGAGTTTGTGCCAGCATCAGTCCATGTGGGATTTGTAGTGGACATAATGGCACCGTGACAGGTTTTCCTTCGAGTCCTTTGGATTTTACTGTCAATATTCGCTCAGGCATCAACTGAAGGATGGACAACGGGCCTGTTAGCAGCCATATTTCCACACAGACATAGTTTTACTTCATTGCAACAGTCAATAAAACAGATATTACTTGACCTGGGCAAAATAGTAAAGCAAAGCACTGAACTGGTTGCAGCTAATGAACCTGTAGCAATATCAAAGTTATTTGTCTTAATATGAAATAATATAAAATAAATTTATTTCTGTAAAATGTGACAATAAAATCTGCCTGAAATGGATGAAGAAGCGTAAGGTATAAGAACAAGTTTGGCATGGTAGATTTGTCATCACTTTCTTAAAGCTGTTGTGATCTCATTTCCAACTTAAATACTTCAGTAACGTGGTTATTATCCATATCACGCATGTATGCATATGAACTTCATACATGGCATAACACAGCTACTGATTAAACCCAGTCTATTTCCTTCTACAGAACCTAACATGAACAAATTATCTTGAAACCTACTAACTTCCCTCGCTACAAAACTAACAAGAAAATACCGCTCAACAAGGAAAGTTATTCTCTTTCAATTCATTAATTTTCTTGTGTTTTAGTTCTATCACGTTACTTCTTCTGACACAGACAATACAGAATTCACTGTAGAACGCTGTAGTGTTGGCTCATTCTGTCACTGTTGCCAACCACCTGCTTGTGACAGCAGAACTGTCTGATTCAGTCATACAGTTGCCGTAACCTCTCCTTATTTCTTCTGTCTCTCCCCTTCCCAACCAACTGTCACTTGTTCCCATTACTGCGAGAATCGCTATGGAGGCGTCGCAGTGGGATGATTTCGCCATGAGCAGAGACTGCGGTGTCGATACTTGCATTGGTACGCCGACAGCTACCAGACTGCCAGAGAACTGTAGGACCAGGTGTTGAACGTTGTGTCACGTTTGTAGTGTTACAGTAGGAGCTTGACCTCCATCTGTGTGTTGTCATACGTCTGAAATAAAATAACTCCATTCTAATGTCTTGTGTCCTGCTATAACTCTAATGCTCAAGTCAGAGATGTGATGTTACAATGTCCCTGGTTACTTATCAAATTCACATATTTTTGGCACCCACTTATAAGTCTTTACCTTTTGGTAAGAGCCAGTAAATTCGCTTCATGTTTCACATCCCGCTCCATGTCAACCTCATCTCCATCAATACAGTGACAGCCTTCTCTGTCCTCTTGCAGCTTACCATTCGTTTGTTCCAGTTGTGGGTAGAGGTTACAGTCAACGTCACAGTGACTGCAGTTATTTGCAAAAGTAGAGCCTACATAAATCACAAAAACCTGACTGTACATTTTTGTATTCTTTAATTAGCATGGAATTTTGCATGAATAGGCTGTACGCAGATTTACCATGCTCAGAAAAATTTATGCAAAGCAAATAATTCCCACATGTGAGCACGCAGGTCCAAATACAATTATTTCAGCAAAGAGATCTTGAACAGAGCCATTCAAGACATGTGGCACCTACAAACGCAGGGTTTATTTACTTATTAGATACACAAAAAATTATGAGAACCGTTCACTCTAGAAGAACTTGCGATTCAGTTTGAAAATTATTACCAGACCACCTACTTTCCAGTACACGAAAAACAATAATTTTGTGAGTTGTTTTGTATGAGAAAGAAACATCTTAGTTTGGGTTGAAGAACATCAATTATGTTACAAGTATTATAAAACAAAGTGCACAGGAAAACCTTTGAAAGTTAGGTTGAACTAAACAAGTAATCTAGAATGTTAAATAATGAGAAACATTGTGATTTATATGTCACAGTACTGTCTAAACAGTGAAATCTAGGAGGCTACAAGTTACTGTCAAGTGTCCGCACTTCAGAACGTGCAGCGGACCTTCCATAATCTTACCCAGCGTGGAGGAGTACGTACGGCGCTGGTCCGTTGTCAGTGAGAGCTTGCAGGATCGTTTGAATGTCCTCAGACCCCGCCGTGCAGGTCCCAGGAATGGTGCTGTTGAAATGGTATACAGGACAGGGTTCACAGCTGCATTTAATGGTAGAACAAACACCGCCACCCATGCAAACACCTTGTAACAAAAAAATGAAAACCTTAATATCTCTCAGGACTTCCTTCTCATGGTATATAACAGTAAATTGTGTCTGGATCTTTTTAACGCACAGAAAATTAAGAAATGTGAAACTTGGTATGAAACATCAAAGGCATGATAACTTATTATTACATTGATTTTTAAAATTCAATTTTATAAACAGATTATATTTTTGATATTTTTAAGTTTACATTTTGTGAATAAGAATGTTCATCTCTCCTTTGACACAAGGTATTGGCAAATTTTTGTCTAAATATAAGGTACCGCTTCTACCACAACAGCGAATTATGTTCTGTGTAGCACTTTAAGCAAAAATTATGAAATAAGTTTCCCAGTTCTAGTTTTTATTTTAACCTTTGTCAAAGAAGAGAGGAATTTGCGATGCAAAGCTGGTAAAGGTTATGCAGCAACACAAATATATTTACCTGTGAAGGTACAGTGATTCCCCCTAGTGAAAGAACACCCAACAGAATGATCGGCATCCAGCACGCAGCATCAGTCGCTACGATGAGAGTCATGCGTCGAGCCATAGCATTGTCGGACGCTCGCTGTTCTTTCTGCACAGCCTGCTGAGTTGTTCGAGCCACTACATACATCCACAAGTAGCCCAGAGCAATGATCGAGAAGGATATCAAGTTGAGAACTGGAACATGTACATAACGGTAGCATTTACTGCTAGAGGGACATAAAATAAGACACAGCCAGTTTGATATTTCATTGGCTGTTTTCAAAATTACAAGTTATAATGTTGTTATAAGTGATACAATTTTGGACAGATCAAAAACGAGTTACACGAAACTGACGCACAGTTTAATGAATTATGAACTTGAGCAGAACTTTGTCATTTCAGAATTTTCTTTCTGTTCATGTTCAGACCTGGTTCCTATCCAATGAACAACAAAGAA